ACTCCGACCGCAAATATTTACTTCGTCGTTTCGTGGCGAGGTCTAGGTGTAGAGCGATAGCATCTCGCGCCGGCGGAACTCGTGGTCATCTCAGATCGCTGGATTCCATTCACGCAGAATTTTAGCCAGTGTTTGATTTAAAACCAATTATGGACTTCTCCGTTCCGATGTTTTACTGTGATTTGTTATGCTGATTCTTCACTTGTTTGTGCTTAATCACAACCAATCTCCTGGTTTCATATGCAATGATGTATAATAAATATATTAAAGTAAAATGATGTATGTTTATTTAAATACATTCATAAAATTAAATACGAGTAAATACTTTCCCTTTCGAATCTATTTGACACATTTTATACAAAATGGTAAAATAGCTATATCAAAAAAGAGGTCATGGAAAGAGTGATAGAACCGTGAGATTTTACTGTCCTATTTATAATGAACATAATTTTCGAACCTAAGTAGCAACCTTGGTTAACGCATTATTTTCCGATTCAATTTACTGTTGACAATAATCAATAAAATGCATAAGAGTAATTGTAATCGATTGTCTTGTCCAGAGACACGCATGAGGGCGCAAGCTATTGTCGTATTTTTTCCACATTTCCACAGTGAAGGGATTGTTTGGACTATGGCGCATCAAGGTCAACTTTGTCAAAGGCTGATATATCTCTGCAAAGTTACATTTGCTTGCCTCTAAGCATTTCAAATCTCTAACGTTACGGTGTAGAATTACAATTCGCATGTTTCTCTTACTGCGTCCTCTTGTATGTAGCAAGTTTCGAGTCATTGCTGCGTTTAGATTTTTTCACCGCTGTCCATAGTTTAAATTCAACCGTTAATATTATCCACTTTACTCGGATTCATTGAGCGAGTGCATTAAGCCTTAATCGGCGATTACACGACTCTTCCCGCCCGCAGTAATGAAACGCAATCTATTTCTCCATTGTAATAGATTCAATGCGATAAATTACGACGGACACTATCGATTTGGCCGCCTCAAGTAAAAGTTAAACTTAATAAAATACAGAAATAAGAGCGATTTATAAATAGGATCCAGTGAAATCGGAGAGGGATGCGAGGCGTTCAACTCTATGATCATACGCAGTGGGCGTAATGTAGTTGGCGATAATCATTGCTTGGTATTCGGAATAAATAATCGATTTAAACATCGTCATAAGAGCTAAGCGTATGTAACCCGACACGGGGTTAGAGCGCTGACCGGACCCGTTGGCATTATGAGCGCACGCGAAAATGATGAGCAGGTACTCATGCGTGCAACCTTTATAAATACCAATCATTTAACATAATAACTTCTGTTTATAAAGGCAAAATTACATCTGTTAAAAAGTATCCGAAAAAAGTAAAATAAAGTAACAGCCTATACATGTCCCACTGCTGGGCAACGGCCTCCTCTATATAGAGGGTATCAGGGCATAGTCCACAGCGCGGCCCCACTGAGGATTGGCGGACTTCACATATTTTCGAAATATATATTTTTTTTTGTTATTATTTCGAAAATATGCAGGTTTCCTCACGATGTTTGTCTTCACCGCAGAGCACGTGATAAGTCAGCACTTAAAGTTAAAAACTTCATTGGTGCCGGCACCGGGGATGGAACTCAGGTTGCTCGAGTATATTGTATTAAAGGCGAGCGCCCGGACACTGAGCTATCCGAAAAAAAGGTTATGTAATTGATTATTTGTCCAAAATAAATTTAGGCACATTGTGTATGTATCAGATTTTGTCATTTGATAAGTTTCCGAATGATCAGATCATGTTACTTACTGTCAATAAACATATTTCGTGTGTCGATAATTTATTTGATTAATAACTTGAGAGTTTATCATTTGAATAATATTGGCAAGAGAGGTAAGAGGGTAATATTGGTAATTCCAAAACAAAAACACGTTAAAGCATACTTGCAAACTCTCAGCTAAAAATCGTTTTATCGGGATGTTTTATACTTCAGATTTTTCTGCTGAGCTTCTGGTATTATTTATATTTAATTAATATGTTATCTACAAGTTGCAAAAAGAAAAGAATAGAAGTCTATACTATATTTTAATGCGCTATAATGATATTTTTTGGAGCAAAACCAACGATTTATGGTCATCCATGTCAATATAAGTTTATTATAGATTGTAATATAAACATTTCTTTTTTACATGTTTTGTCGACTTATTATGGAGAATAGGTGAAGTTGCGACTTCAAAGATTGGAAAATTGGGTGGGAATTTATTGTATTTTATTAAGTTAAACTTTTACTTAAGGCGACCAAATCGATAATGTCTGTCGTAACTTATAGCATAGAATCTATGACAATGGAAAAATAGAAAAATGACGTATAAAATACACGAAGAAACTTTTCCGCTTTTCTCGATAACAGTACGTACGTTATGGTAACATTTAACAAAGTCGCTAGATGTGTTCCGGGAAACTAGTGTGCAGATCATATCGAAACTCAACCGTTGCGCAGTGCCCTGAGAATTGCCCCTAGAGGTTATATCGCTTTATTAATTAAACTAGTGATGGGACGTCTAATATAATTCATACATTATGGGACAAGGAAAACCCGCCGTTGATGTACGCACGGTGAAATCGACGATATCTCTTTGAATTGTTGCTCTTACGCGTCATATTTTCGATGTACACCCGATCATGTCGAGATACACCAGCTTTCATTCCTATGGTTTATCACGTCTTTATATGTATGGAAAGCTTGAGGTTTTAAACGCAAAGATGTTTCTTAACCGACCTCTTGAACGCGATGGATTGTGTGCTTAGGGCCGTACTTTGTGGTTGATGCGACTAATTGTAGTATACTCGTAAATTTTTAGTAGTACAAGTTTTTAGCGCGATCAGATATCCTTGGAGCCGTGATAGCTCAGTGTCCGGGCATTCGCCTTTAATTCAATATACTCGGGCAACCTGAGTTCGATCCCCGGTGCCGGCACCAATGAAGTTTTTAACTTTAAGTGCTGACTTATCACGTGCTCCGCGGTGAAGGAAAACATCGTGAGGAAACCTGCATATTTTCGAAATAATAACAAAAAAAATATTTCGAAGATATGTGAAGTCCGCCAATCCGCAGTGGGGCCGCGTGGTGGACTATGCCCTGATACCCTCTGTATAGAGGAGGCCTTTTCCCAGCAGTGGGACATGTGTAGGCCGTTACTTTACTTTTACTTTACTTTAGATATCCTTGCCGAAGATGATTAGGACTTGTGGGTATACAAACATATATAAAATCTAAGTGATATTCCCCCCGTTGTGAAATACTACTGTCATATTTTAGCTGGTGCTACGATATGTCATCTAGCTTTACTAGACTCAGTGATCAGATGATTGATGTGTCTTATTGATGATTTACTAGAACCCAATCTTCTCACTTTCGTACACATATGCAGACATTTATTGTTTTATTTTTATTTGGAAACTTCTTGTACAATAGCGTACAATGGCAGACTTAACACCATTAAGTGTTCTCTACCTGTGAACCGGCTGCCACTTCCATGGCCCGATAAGCTCATCTGCATTCTCCGCATTCGAGCTAATAGTTCGCATCATCGCATAGATATTTCATGAATAATATAATATGAATATAGAGTATATTCAAAAGCAAAAAGGCTTCATCGCTCTTAGAAGTTCAACTACCAACTACTGAACATTTACTAGATGCGTTGATGTTCATGAACTAGCCGGTTCGTTTTGAAAAAACACTGTTCTCAATTATATTATGTCTTTTAAGCATCCAATTATAACTCGTATGCACTTAATCCAATGCGACTCCAAATTTAGTCAACAATCGCTTACAACAAATGTGTATCTATCATTGACATTCCACAACAGAGTAATGCAAATGAACCGGCCGGTTAATAAAATTAAATATCAACCGCATCACGCACAAGCGTTTGACACACATAATCTCCAAATGAGCGCCGGATCATGAGAGCGGCGTAATGCAACTTTATTCCTCGCCCCGAACGAAATCCATTACGGCGTGTCACAACACCGATAAATTGCGATTTTAACGATGCCGCCGAACCGGGACGGACCAACGAGGGGTGGACGCGGCGGAGTCCGGCCGCGTTCTCCCACGATAAACTCGCCGACGACCAGTTATGTCAGAGCGGAGTGACGTGCCCCGCGCCGCTAAGACGGTCGGGGAATTAAAACGCACTAGCCGGTAATGCTCCCGTCACATCACTAGAATAGAGGCGGTTGCATAAACGCGGCGACCTTACTGCCGCGCGGCATCGTCGCGTCGCGCACACGTATAAATATTGTCGCAAATTGGTTTGTTTGTACAGATCGCAGCTGCGATAGCGTCGTATAATTGCAGCCTAGTTAGCATAGGACGGGGTTCCTGGACCGCTTCCTCCGACGCTACCGAGAGCTGTTAATTATGTTCTGTTTGACGTGCGGGAGGCGTTTATGGCCAAAGCGTTGACCCGGTTAGCTTTACATCCGTACCGATATCCCCGATGTTCATGAATATGCAAACTCTACATGTGTAGAGCAAGTAATTATCACATGTTCCTGTGCAGCAAGAGACGAGCTCGTACATGATTCTCGTATTTTAAAACCGGTGTGCCTTTTAAGCGTAGTTCCAAACAACTAGGTAGACGGAGAGATTGAGAGGTTACGTTAAAAACAAAGATCACCAAGCGCGAGTCGGACTGGCGCACGAAGGGTTCAGTACCATTATCTATAAAAAAGGCAAAAAAATCGTGTCTGTTCTATGGGAGCCCAACTTAAATATTTTTTATTCTATATTTTAGTATCTTGTTATAGCGGCAACAGAAATACATCATCTGTGAAAATTTCAACTGTCTAACTATCACGGTTCATGAGATACAGTCTGGTGACAGGCGGACAGAATGACAGACAGCGAAGTCTTGATAACAAAAACCATAAATAATGTCTAAAACTCAAAAATGTCAAAAAGCTTCGTTAAAAACCGACCGTGCGGGATGGTCATGGAACGAAAACTTCTAGCATGTACCGTTTACGGCGATCCAGCGCTTAGACCACCGGAGCCCGGACAATTGGTGCAAGCCGCACGCGAGCCACCCGAGCGCGAGATGACAGCGATAAAGCAGCGCAATAAGCCGTGATGTATGCAGCGTATGGTGTTTCATACCACCGCCGGGACCAGTCAGCCCGAGCCAGCCAGAGCCATCCAGTCGAGCCTCCGATAAATAATCGGCCTCAGCCAGCGAACACAAATCAAACGGCATTAACATTTGTCACACTTTGTTCGCGGTATAATTAAGCCCGCGACGGTTAGGAAGTGCCGCGATACGATTTTACACCGGCCGCTCTGAGCGATCATATCGCATCAAGGGACAACACAAACAAATAAGCCCTCACGCATTTTTGCCTAGACGGGGAACGCAGAAATAGCTAGAGACATACTCTTCATCGAGCTTACATATTTTAAGTTTGGTCAAATAAGGGAATATATCTTCATGAAAGAAGAATACGCTTCCTCGATCCGATGATGGTGGTGGATCTCGACGTCCATCGAAGCCTATAAATGTGAATTTAAACTAAGATATAAAAATAGCAGCCAGGCAACATGCTAAGACAGAATATTAAAGAACGCCATTTGTGTTAGTCCAGTCATAACTTTTTTATTGCATCTCCTAAGTATTATGTTATGCTTCCTTCATCACACCCGCGATATTCCCAGCAATTCTGCGACGCATCTTTCTCTACGAGCATACACATCATTGCGATGTCTCTGCAAAATGTCAAGTTACATCTACAACAACTCATCAACATTATTTACACGTAGTATTCTTATTTATTGGCAGCACTTAATAATAACAAGGAAGCATGTTAACCTTAGGCAGTTCCCGCTTGTCATTCCAAAGGACATTCGCTCATCTAGGTAATAATAATACCAAAATGAACAGTACAACATTATATTAAATTTTAATTTAGTAAAAACATCGAACATCAAAAATATTTTTTTTCGTATGGGAACTCTACTTGGAACTTTATATAGATGTCTACAATCACAACTCTTACACTTTAGTACTATGGGGAGACAAATAACTGGCATATACACAATCAGAGACAAGGCTCGACCCCTTTTTACGATAAAGTTGGCAAGCGAGCAAGTGGTTCACCTGATAAAAAGTGATTACCATTAGCCATGGGCATCTATAATAACTGTGGTGTTGCAAATACCCTGCCAACCTCGGAAAAAGGAGGCTACGGCTACCTCACTCACTAGAGGAAACGCTAAAGCAAATACTTAAATTTCACGTCCGTCTTCTGTGAGGCCATGTTACTTCCCCAGACAAACTGCTTCTACTGCTCTACATTCTACTGTTGTGTGGCCCTACCATAGAGCAAATCTGACCTGGCCCATAAGAGCCAAAGTCCTTGGTGCCATAGTATGTAGCCGAAATGCGAGCAATTAACTCAAACACAGAGGATATTGCTGCGGAAAAAATATTTAACTTTTACACGAGATTATAGTTATCGATTAGATACGTTCGCTTCACAAAAACATTAAGTTTCAATTTCAAACAATAAATTCTGTATTAGCGGACGTAACATGTTCTGACGGTGGTAGAGCTATGCAATTGTGTTCGCTGTTGCACAAATAGGCAGGTCCGTCCGGGTTAGTACCACGATCTCACAGAAGACCGGCGTGAAGTAGAAGTGTTGCACTTCTGCATTTCATCTGGTGAGTGAGGTAGCCAGGGCCCACTTTATTAAGAGGCGGCAACGCTTCTACAACCCTACGGGTGTCACAAATGTCCATGGGTGGGGTGTTAGCACTTAACATCAATTGCACCGCTAGATCGTCTGCCACTTTCTCACATAAAAAACAGCGTTGTCATGTGAACACACCAAAATATAATCTATGATATATCAACTAGTCGCCATCATTACCGATATTTCCTCTGTTGGCCTCTTCAGTGTCAGTGCCTCTTCAGTCTGATGCTCCATGATAAAGTATTTTAGTTTCGTCAGCCAGACCCATGCTCCATGGTACCTGTTAGTTCAATCAATCTGATCTGAGCTTTATCGTAATATAATAGCTCTGTTCGAAATCACTAGTGACGGGACCGCGGTGTACGGAACGGCGTGGAGCATTGTGAGCGCGGTCAAGGCGCGTCCCGGTTCACACACAACAATCGGCGACGGTGCGGTATGAGCTCGGCTGCTCGCGCCTTTTTATCAAGCCGTACGCTGTGTGCTGGTTTGTGCCGCTTAAATGTTACGCAACTCGTTTGGCCCGCGCGTGTAGTTAACAGCGTACGGGTTCCTACTGTGGTGAATGCAGGCTTAACTGGTGAAGCCTCACGAGATGCTGACCTGGAAGCATTTACTTTATTTAAAAATAACATTGCCCTTAATTTAGGAACACGTTAACCTGTGTTGTAAGGACGTTTGACAAACATAAATTTCACCTGGACAAACGACCAGATGCGAAACAATTATCTGTGGGTCACACAAATAGTTGTAAACGAACCGAAGCCAATACCTTGGCAGCTACGCAACGAAGTCATCTTAGTGTTTATTCTGGTTCAGTGTTAACGCAGAACTTCACTTTATAACACGCTAGTAGCTGAAGAGACCGCTACGAGTGGGTTCATTGAGCCCCTTTTGGGTGGATGCGTACTAGAGGGTGTGGGGAACAAGAGGTACAGAAGAGGAGCCACTTTGTAATCTTCAACTTTTGGTATTCCGATGGTATCATAACAGCTATTCTTATCCTTTGCAACTTAGCTGGTTTGCAGTACTGTTGCAGCAAAAGTAGGCCTAGGAAGATGAGGAATGTTTAATGACTCTGTAGCGTAGTTGCCAAAAATTGAGTCGTGGGTTCGATTCCCTATTAGTGTGACACACAGAATAATTATTATTTCGGATCTCGATATTTGTCCACGTGTAATTTATGTATTTAAAAAAAATCATTATTACCACGATAATGTTATAATACAGTAAGGGCAATGTTTCAAAAAAAGTGTCAGTGTTACGATGCACTGATTCCCCTGCCCCTTGCGGCCGAAACATGATGAGGGGTGGAAAAGAAAACCAGGCCCTTTATTCACACCTTATTGACACTGGTTCTATGTTTCAGCGCACGTTACCGAGACGAGAGGTATATCACTCCCCGAGGACTAGCAAGTGCTGACAGGATAGCAAATGCAAGCAAAGAAGAGATATGTATGTATATCTTACGCAATCCTAATATTTATCACTATACCATCTAATACAGTTAAATATGAAGGACATATCGTCTTTCTTCCTTATCACTTCTCCTCTTTCACTTCACCTCAATTTTAGATCTACTACTATCTTAATTAAGAACTGATATGATTTTCTAAATTAAAAATAAAATTTATTAAAGTCATCCTATTATTTTTAAAATAAGCCAATCCTATTTATTATTAAAAAAACTGTAATTACATAATTAAATCCGATTAGGTTGAAAACGAATACGTTTTTATAAGTGCTTCTATAAATTAGGATTAAAATAGCATAGCAATAAAAAAATATAGAGCAAATTAAGTATCAAACGTTTTGCAAATTAATGAATAATTTAATTGTGATTAGTTTCTCGGGTGATTAAAATTTCGCGTCGAGGTTTGATCCGAAATTTATGATGATTTTTATGCTTCAATTAAGGAGATGACTTTTTAAGAAATAATTGACTACAACTAATTAATTCAATTAGATTCGTAAACAGCATTCTTCATCACTCTACGTTATCAGGATCTAGAAATCAAGTGTTGGTCTGATCATTATCAAACTTTGTGCTTCTACACCAAACAACTCGTTGAATATCAGACTAAAAGTATTTAAAGTTGTTTTTTTTTTTTTTTTTTTTTTTTTTTTTATGCGAAAAGTTGTCAAACGAGCAGACGGTTCACCTGATGTTAAGTGAATACCGTCGCCCATGGACATCTGCCACACCAGAGGGTTACAGATGCGTTGACAACTTTTGAAAATTGGGCTCCGGCCACCTCACTCACCAGACGAAACGCGAAAGTATTATACTTCCACTTTACGCTGGTCTTCTGTGAGGTCGTGGTACTTACCCGGACGGGCCTGCCCATTCGTGCAACAGCCGAGGCTGCTGCGTGGCCCTACCACCGTAAAAGTTGTTTCTTCTAAATACTCACCCGTCTCTTTATCTGTGTTATCTTCAATAACTAAATTTACCATAGAGCCCCTGCCGAAGGTAGTTTAGCTTAGTTACCTTTTTAAAGTTAATCGCATTATCATCGATAATGCGTAAAGATGCTCCGATAACGAAGTCGACACACAAAACCGGCTTTGCATCAACAAAAGCCCTGATTAATCGCAGGACTTTAGAACCGGACCACGTCTATAGGTAGCGCGCGTCAAAGTCAATGGAAGGAGATCATATTAAAGAGTTATAAAGACGTCAATGGTAATCTTAAGATAAATGGTGGCAAACGGGAATTATCGTACCGCGATCGGATAGTTGCCGATGGTGCATTCATATGGCCCTTTGATAAATCGACGACATTTATCTGTAAGCGATTGTATCAAAATATTTTAGTAGATCCCCGGGATAAGTGTCACGACTGTAATGGAGCGGGGTTAGAATTACTCCCTGAGAGACACCAGGGCCTCGCGTGAATGCAGACGTTTGGCAGCGAATCTAACAAGAATATGTTCCGTGAGAAATCTTCAAATTTTTTTTATAGACAACTAATTGGCTTAATAGATAGCGAGCCGGACTCTTGCGTAAGAGGGTATGGGTTCGATCCCTACTAGTGAAATAATATTGCGTAATGAACGTAGTGTCTTTATAGTGTCCGGGTGTTTATATATCTGCAATATATATTTATTTACACAGGAACAGTATGTTTAAGAATGTTAAGCTGTTACCCATTACCCATAATACAAGCTTTGCTTGCTTATATAAAATTATATTCTGAAGATATTTAATTGTTTAAAAGTACGTGTACATAAAGAAATCATTTTTTTACTTCTTTTCTTTTAATATGTTTGTTAATATCATGAGGGATTTTTTGCAGATAAATTGTTTTTTCGGCAATTTGAACTAACTTTACTAACTAGTCTCTTTATTTTTTTACAATAAACTAGTCCTTTTAGGAATATTTTTACAATTTTACTCAAAGTCATAGTCAAAGTTAAAATTTCTTTGTCCCGTATAAGCTTGTTTGAAGCTCTTATTGGACGTCAAATCAAAAACCATCAGTTGACTAATTTAGACTAGTCCAAAGAA